CCCAAGCCCAAAATATCTCTTTACTAAATCAAATCTAATCTATATTTAAATTCAAATCTATTTAAATCTAAACAAATCAAATCTTCTTTTGACACATATGAATTACAATTTAACACACCACATAATTCATTGTGTCTAAACTGTCTATGTTCATCATGGCCCTTAGCTTTCTGAATACTTCGACCTGCACTCCCTTCGTCATGATGTCTGCAATCTGATTCTCAGTTCTGCAGTGTTCCAAATTCATCTTCCCATCTGCTACCTGCTCTCGAAGATAATGGAACCTCATTTCGATGTGCTTACTTCGACCATGTGCTATTGGGTTCTTTGCCAAATTGATAGCTGACATGCTGTCTATCTTCATGGTAATTGCTCCATGATTTTTCCCTGTTATCTCTTCGACCAAGTTCACCATCCAGGTTGCTTGACATGCACAAAGAGAAGCAGCTATGTATTCTGCTTCGCATGATGATAATGCCACTACTGGTTCTTTTCTCGAACTCCAAGCAATTGTTACACCACCTAACATAAACACATATCCTGTTGTTGACTTTCGATCTTCAGCATCACTACACCAACTCGAATCAGTGTATCCCACTAACTTGCATTCTTTTCCTTTATCAACTGCAGGAAACAGAATGCCATAATCGAAAGTTCCTTTGAGATACCTTAGTATCCTCTTCACTGCTGCTAGATGTGATACCTTTGGCTTCTGCATGAATCTACTTACCATACCTACACTATATGCTAAGTCAGGCCTTGTATGACAAAGGTATCTCAATGATCCAATAAGTCTTCTGTATTGGATTGGATCAACGTCATCTTCATCTGCATCTTTCGACAGTTGCAATCTTGGTTCTGCAGGTGTCGAAGTTGCATTACATTCTTCCATCTCAAACCTCTTGAGAATTTCTCCCGCATATCTTCTTTGATGCATCATCAAACCTCTACTGCTCTTGTAGAATTCGATACCAAGGAAATATGAAATCTCACTCAAATCAGACATTTCGAATTCCTTGCTAAGATCATCTTTGAAGTCTTTGATCTCATTCTTGCAGCTACCTGTTATCAACAAATCATCTACATAGAGACATAGTATAAGCAATTTACTCTTGCTTCTTCTTACATATACTCCATGTTCAGTTATGCACTTCACAAATTCCTTCTCCCTTAGAAAACTATCAATTTTCTTATTCCAAGCCCTTGGAGCTTGTTTCAAACCATACAGGGCTTTATGTAGCCTGTACACCTTTCTTTCTTCGTCATGTTTCACAAACCCAACTGGTTATTTAACATAGACTTCTTCATCTAAGGGTCCATTTAGGAATGCACACTTCACGTCCATCTGACATATGTGCCAACTGTTGATTTCTGCTAGACCAACAACCAACCTGATTGTTTCGATCCTAGCCACAGGTGCAAAAACTTCGTCGAAGTCTATTCCTTCTTTCTGTAGAAATCCTTTCGCCACAAGTCTTGCTTTGTGTCGAGTTACTTCACCTTTCGAATTCGTCTTCACTTTGTATACCCACTTGACATCAATTGCCTTCTTGCCTTGAGGCAATTCGACAAGTGACCAAGTGTTGTTGTCTTCGATAGACTTTACTTCTTCATTCATTGCTTTCACCCACTTCGAATCCTTTAATGCTTCAGCTGCATTAACAGGTCCGACATCTGCATAGAAAGCATAATGTACCATCTCACCTCCATCATCTATCACATCATCTGATGTAATCACACAATCTTGCAATCTTGCAGGCATGCGTCTTGTTCTTTGAGGTCTGCTTGTACTGGGTATATCTGCTGGCTCCTCTTGTCGAACTTCTCTTTCGACTTGAGTTTCTGGCTCTTCGAATAAGATTCCCACTGAATCTTTCTTGACATTATCAGTCCAATCCCATTCTTTGAACTCATCTATGATCACGTCCCTGTTGATCACAATCTTCTTGTTCTCTGGATCGAATAACTTGTAGCCTCCTGTCGAATGATATCCAACTAGGATCATTTGACTTGACTTGTCATCAAGTTTCTTTCTCAACTGATCTGGCACATGTCTATGTGAAATAGATCCAAATACTTTCAGATGACTCAAACTAGGCTTCACACCAGACCAACATTCTTCTGGAGTAATTCCTTCTGACTTCTTTGTAGGACTTCTGTTCAAAATGTATGTTGCAGTCGAAACAGCTTCACCCCAGAACTCTTTGGGTAAATTCTTGCCTTTCAACATACTTCTCACCATATTCATGATGGTTCGATTTTTCCTTTCTGCAATTCCATTTTGCTGTGGAGTATAGGGTGGAACCACCTCATGCACACTCCCTTCCTTTTCACATAATTTTTTGAAGTCTTTCGACACATATTCTCCTCCACCATCAGTTCTCAAAACTTTGAGCTTTCGACCACTTTGTCTTTCGACCATGGACTTGAACTTGGTGAATACTTCGATCACTTCACTTTTCTTCTTGATCAGGTAAGTCCATAGCTTTCGACTGAAATCATATATGAATGTAACAAAGTATTTGTTACCTCCCATCGAATCCACCTGAATTGGTCCACATACATCAGAGTATATGATTTCGAGACTAGCCTTCGATCTGCTTCCTGCATCCTTGCTGAAGCTATTCTTGTGTTGCTTCGCCTGCACACATTCTTCACATACTTCATTTGGAATATCAATTTCAGGCAATCCTGAAACCATATTTCTTCTCTTCAAATTTCTGATGTCTCTGAAGTTGAGATGACCTAGTCTATAATGCCATATCCATTCATCTCTGCTAGCTGCAGTCGAAAGGCACTTGTGCTCCATCACATTTAGTTCAATCTTGAAGGTTCGATTCTGAGACATAGGAGCCTTCAAAATTACCCTCCCATTTGCATCAACAACTCTCATCAACTTATCTTCGATTGACACTTTATAATTCTTTTCGACCAACTGCCCTATACTGAGCAAATTGCTCTTCATGCCTGGTATGTACAATACATTTGAAATTACTGACTTCTTGCCATCTTTCCTCATGATCATAACATCACCAATACCTTCAGCTGCTAGTGTGTTGTCATTTGCAAATTTTACCATATTCTTCGTTGAGGGTTTTATGTTGACGAACCAGTCTTTCCTTCCAGACATATGTGATGAACATCCTGAATCCAAGTACCATTGGTCCTTGAATCTATCTTCATCTCTTGTTGTGACCATTAGCATCATCTCTTCTTCTTCTTCATGTTTTGCAAGCTTTGCATCACTTTCTTGATTCTTTCGTTTTTCTGGACAATCACTTGAATAGTGACCATACTTCTGACAATTGTAACATTGAATGCGACTCTTATCAGGTTTTCGACCACCACCTCTTCCTCTGTTTGCAGCACCCCCTCTTTGGTTGCCGTGGTGTGGTCTTCTTTGATTCGACACGTCTCCTTCGATTTGGTTTTACTCTATCATTCGATTTGTTGTAGCCACCTCTACTTCTGTCGAAGTACTTTCCTTTGCCTTTGGTCTCTTTTGCTGCATGTGCCTGTAAGGCCACATCACTCTTCGATTTTCCTGCAGCTCTTTTGTTCATTCTTTGGTCATGAGATTCGAGCGTCCCTTGAAGCTCTTCCTTTGTCAATTTCGACAAGTCTTTCCCTTCTTCGATCGCCACCACTATGTGGTCGAACTTAGGAGCTAAGGATCTCAGGATCTTCGAAACAACAACTCTTGTTGTTAATGTTTCTCCACATGTCTTGATTTGATTCACTAGTTTTGTAACTCTAGTGAAGAAATGAGATATGTTTTCACTGTCTTCCATCTGAAGCAGTTCATAGGTCCTTTTGTGAGTTTGTAACCTCACTTCTTTCACCTTCTCAGCGCCTCCAAAAGATTTCTCCAGGATCTCCCAAGCTTCTTTTGCAGATTCTGAATCACTAATCTTTTCGAAGTTGTCTGGGCTGACACATTGATGAATTATAAACAATGCTTTATAACTCTGTTTCTCAGATTCTGTGTATTTCTTCTTTTCTTCTTCTGAAGCGTTTTCGCCAAGCGCTTCGACTCCATCTTTTACAAGGTCCCAAAGGCCTTGACACCTTAATAGGACTTTCATATGCTTGCACCAATTCTCATAGTTGTCAACTTTCAGAATTGGCAGCGTTGCTGGATAGTTTACATTCCCATAACTTGTCATCATGAATTCTTCAATCGTTCTTGATTGATACTTCCCTTGAATCGTAACACAAGCTCTTGATACCAGATGTTGGAAATCCACCAATACTTTATGATGAATTTCGACCACCACTGATGATTAGTTATGATAAACAAATAAAAGAACAATGGAGATATTTCTGCAGAATTTCTATTCTGCCCACAAACTGTGGAATCTTTATTAATTCACTTTGCAACTGCAAAATACTGTGAATGACTTGATTACAAAATAGGGGTTACTCCCTCTATTTATAGATTTAGGTTAGCTTGCTCTCTAAGCTAAACCCAAGCCCAAAATATCTCTTTACTAAATCAAATCTAATCTATATTTAAATTCAAATCTATTTAAATCTAAACAAATCAAATCTTCTTTTGACACATATGAATTACAATTTAACATATTTAAAAATAACCCGTATGATTTAACATTTGACATGAATTTAAATTTTCACAACTTGAATTTACTTTTGGAAAAAATGTAGGAGGATACTAAAAATAAAATAAATTTATTTTGCCGCGAGTCATCCTTCAAAGCAAGCAAAGAACATTCGACTTGACAGAAATCAATTCAACGCGAAAAGAAAAGTGAGAAAACCATTTTCCCTCTCTTTTTTCTGCATACATCCTTACTTTGAGTTCATCAATTGATTCAATTAATCTCGGTTTTTCTCTCTTAATCTTTCAAATTTAACTAATCAAGTTTACATTGTGATTAATTACTGATTAGTGTTCTTGAATTTGCAGATTGAATAAACCCTATCAAACAATGTCATAGCTGTTTTCTTTCAATTGCTGAGTTCTCTTAGTTTGTTTAACAATGTCTGCTGTTAGGTTTTCTCATGTAAGGTTTTTACATAGTTCAATCAAGGGTTGTTTCAATTTCCAAAATGTTCAAAATTACCCTAATAGGGCTTTGAATCTTGCAAGAGTTTCAAGTTTTTCGGTTGATTTGTCGACCCGTTGTTATTCCAAAGGAAAGTTAGAGTCACCTAAGAAGTTTGCTCAGAACCAGTTTGGCAATTTGGCTTCTGTATCTGGTGAAAAGGGTTTGAATTCAGTGTTTGATTCTAGATTCTCTAGGGTATGTTTTCGAAGGAGTGTTGAATTGTCGAATGTTTCTTCGATGAGTCACGTGTTGAGTTCTCGAATGTATTCGTCGTCTTTAGGTGGGAAAGGAAGTAGGGACGGTGAAACGGAAGTGGGTGTTAGTGATAATGGTGGTGGTGATTCGGTTGTTTCGGGTGATTTGGTTGAGAGGGTGAAAGATACATGGAAGAGTGTTGCGGAGACTGCTTCTTATGCCGGGGAAAAGATTAAAGAAACTTCTGATGATCTCACTCCATATGTTCAACAGTTGCTTGATTCGCATCCTTATCTTAACATGGTGGTTGTTCCGGTTGGTGGTACTTTAACTGCTACCATAATAGGTTGGTTCTTTTTGCCGAGGATTTTGAGGAGATTTCACAAATATGGAATGCAAGGTCCCGTTGCTCTATTTCAAGGAGGCGTGCTTGGGGAGCCAGTTCCGTATGAGAAAAGCTTTTGGGGTGCTATGGAAGACCCAGTGCGATATTTAGTTACCTTCTTGGCATTCTCACAAATGTTAGTGGCTTGTTTACAAATTTATGGATATTTTTTCTTTGTCCTGTTTTTCTCTCCTTTTTGTAGTACGTGTCTAGGGTTTTAAATAGTTGTCATGATAACGGCTGCGGTCACGTCAGAATCTTTGATATTGTGGCCAATGCGGCATCAATCGCGGTTGCATTTAGGTTTCCACAGTTAAAAATTGTTATGTTGTGGCGCATATCGAGGTTGCAAATCTTTATTTTAATACATGTTTGATTGTGTGACAGTTGATTTTGATTTATTGCAGTGCTGTGATGGTAGCTCCAACAGCTATAGCCTCACAATATCTTGCTCCCACTTGGAGAGGTGCAGTGATACTTTCATTTGTATGGTTTTTGCATAGATGGAAAACAAATGTTTTTGCACGAACTTTGTCCAGTCAAAGTGTACTTGGACTTGATAGGGAGAAAATGCTTGCTCTAGACAAAATTTCATCTATTGGTTTATTTGTGATTGGTATAATGGCTTTGGCTGAGGCTTGTGGTGTGGCTGTGCAATCTATTGTAACTGTTGGTGGTGTAGGAGGTAAGTATTAGATTTATTGAATCTTATCAGTTTGATTTTACATTCTTAAGAGTTTTTAGTATCTTTCCTTTTACTAGACCTTTGGTTTTCTATAATGTTGATGGAGGCATGAAAACTGTTATTATACTGTAGGTTTTATGAAATAAAAGTTTCTTATAAGTGATAATTATATCAATCTGGTTGAGAGTTTCTTATAAGTGATAATTATATAAAAGTTGCTCATTTATTTCAATTGCTTATTTACGTTTCTAGTGATAAAATAAGGGATGTGGATATTTACACAGTTCTGTTAATCGTTATACAGGAGTTGCTACTGCTTTTGCTGCCAGAGACGTACTTGGCAATGTGTTCAGTGGTTTATCCATGCAGTTTTCAAAGCCCTTTTCAATTGGAGATACAATAAAAGTATGTTGGTTTAGATGCAAATCAATGATCATTCCCGGTTTACTTTTTATGGGAAATATGATTTTCTGAACCACCGATTTGCCATCTGTTTTACACTTGTATGGCCTATTTCCTAGTATGTTTTTTAGGTGAGGAATGACAATGATTTTTTTACATCCAGGTGTAGCAATACTATCATAGTTATGTATTATGTAGTACTAGTATGTAGTGCATTTGTAGATGTTTAAAGAAACGAACAATCTTTATTTCTTTTATATTCCAGTGAGTAATACATGAAAGGTATTTATAGAATACAAGGGACAAATCACTTTAAATGCTAATTCTAAATGCTAATTCTAAATATGGTAGAAGACAACTAATTACTAATTATTAATAGCTAATGACTAATTATTATTTACAATGAATATTATACTGAGCTGTATAACACAAAATCTATTGATTTTGTACTTATCTCTCTAATAACTTCCAACACTCCCCTTCAAGCTGGGGAATGGATATCTATCATCCCCAGCTTGCAAGTAAGATCTCGAAACCGCTCCAAGGGAAGTCCTTTGGTGAGCACATCAGCTACCTGAAGTCTTGATGGGACGTACTGTGTAGAAATAAGACCACTATCCAATTTCCTTTTGATGAAGTGTCGGTCTATCTCTATATGCTTTGTTCTGTCGTTTTGGACCGGATTGTGAGCAATACTAATGGCAAATTTATTATCGCAGAAAAGTCTCATACGAACTTCATACTTTATTTTCAAGTCATCTAGAATGATCTTCATCCACAACAGTTCACAAACTCCTTGAGCCATGGCTCTAAACTCTGCCTCTGCACTTGATCTGACAACTACATTTTGTTTCTTGCTCCTCCATGTCACTAAATTTCCACCTAGGAACATACAATGTCCAGTGGTGGATCTTCTGTCAACAATCGGCCCTGCATAATCCGCATCAGTATAAATCTCCATAGACAACTGCTCACTTTTCTTGAACAATAGTCCTCTTCCCGGGCTCATCTTTAGATACTGCAAGATTCTATCCACTGCCTGTAAGTGCCTCTCCCGTGGGTCATGCATGAATTGACTGACAACACTAACCGGATAAACTATGTTAGGCCTGGTGTGAGATAGATAAATGAGCTTTCCCACAAGTCTCTGGTATTGAGCTTTATCAACCCTTGGGCTTTCCTCATCACTCCCAATCTTGTGGTTTTGCTCTATAGGCACTCTGGTGGATTTACAATCCAACTTGCCAGTCTCTTTGAGAAGGTCAAGGACATATTTTCTCTGAGAAATGAAAATGCCTTGTTTTGAGTATGCTACCTCCATACCTAGGAAATATTTCAACTTTCCAAGGTCCTTCATTTCAAACTGAGCTGCCAACTCCTTCCTCAAGTTCTTCTCAAATTCATCATTACCTACTATGATCATATCGTCTACGTAGACTAACAAAAGAGTGAGTTTACCATTTTGAGCATGCTTTATAAAGAGAGTATCACCTTGGCTTTGTTTATAACCGAAGGACACCATAACATGAGTGAGCCTCCCAAACCAAGCCCAGGGTGATTGCTTAAGACCATATGTGGCCTTCTTTAACCTGCAAAACCTTACTGCTTCCTGAAGTAGGGTCATATCCAGGTGGGATCTCGATATACACCTCTTCCTCCAAATCTCCATGCAAGAAAGTATTTTTCACATCAAACTGTTGCAACTCCCAATCAAAGTGAGCTGCCAAGGAAAGAATGATTCTTACAGTGTTCATTTTTGCTACTGGAGCAAATGTCTTTTCATAATCAATTCCATAGGTCTGGTGTATCCCTTTGCAACTAGCCTCGCCTTATATCTGTCGAGTGTACCGTTGGATCGGTATTTTACCGTATATATCCACTTGCAGCCTACTGGCCTCTTGTCATTTGACTTCTCAATAATCTCCCAAGTCCCATTTTTCTCTAGTGCATGCATCTCTTCATTCATGGCTTGAATCCAATTCTTATCCTTTAATGCTTCTTGTACTGATGCAAGGACTCTAATAGAGTCAATAGCTGAAATAAAACTCTGATGCTGCATATAAAGCTTTTCAGTAGACAAAAACTGGGATATAGGGTATTTGGTACAAGACCTTTTTTCTTTTCTCAAAGCAATAAGTAGGTCATCAAGGTTTGGCTCACAAGAATTATTAGGCTCAGGGTTAGAAACACTTACCTCAGGTTCAACGATTGGACTTGTTGGGGCAGAACAGGTTTACCTTTCCACCTTTTTTGCTGGAACTGTAACTTGTATCTGTCAACATTATTATGCACCAATATTGGTACATCACCACCATCCTCATTAGGCATCAAGGGCTCCTGTATTACAGGAATAACAGGAAGAACAAACAACTCAGGAGACGACTCTAGGTCCTGTATTAGAGGAATAACAGACAACTCAGGAGACGGCTCCGGGTCCTGTATTAGAGGAATAACAGGAAGGACAGACAACTCTGAAGACTCAACTTCTTGATTATTCTCCCCCTGAAGCTAAGGATTGGGATAAAAAGACTCAGATTCCTGAAAAGTAACATCCATGGATATATAGACACGACGACTAGAAGGATGATAACACTTGTACTCCTTTTTATCTGAAGCATATCCTATGAAGATACATTTAATAGCCCGAGGATCTAACTTACCCCGATGAGGACCATGAACATGGACAAAGATAAAACAACCAACGACACGATTCTGGAGACCTGACATAATGGGCACGAACGGAAAGAATCGAGTCAGGATTTGCACAAGACTAACACCCGATAACACCCTAGAAGGCTATTGATTAAATAAGCAAAGGTCAAGATAGCTTCCCTCCAATAAAATTTAGGAACATTCATTTGAAAGCATAATGCTCGGGTGATTTCAAGATGACGATTTTTCCTTTCAACAACCCCATTTTGTTGTTGGAGTGTCAACACAAGTCAACTCGTGAACAACACCATTAGTTTTGAGAAAATTGTGAAAATTTTGGTTTACATACTCCTTACCATTGTCTGACCGTAACCTTTTAATAGGTTTCCCAAACGTGTTTTAACCATTTGAAAAAAGTTAACAAACAATTGACACACTTCAGACTTATCTTTCATAAGAAAAACCCATGTAACCCGAGTAACATGCCATTTTGCACTAGAAATATTGGAAATGGATGAAGGTCCCCATAGATTAGAATGAACAAGATCAAAGGGTTCGTCACTCCTAGTATCACTAGGGGAATAGGTTGCTCGATGGGATTTGGCAAACTGACACACATCACAATGAAAGAAATCAACAAACACTTTGGTAATTAGGTGAGGGAATAGAGACCTGAGCATGTTGAAAGGAGGATGTCCAAGACGCCTGTGTTGGAGCCATATTTGAGTATTTGTCCATGACTCTGAACCAGCCTGATGACACTTGCTTTCCATATAAGGCAAACAATATAACCCGTTCTGTTCCTCAGCAATTTCAATCGTCTTCCCTATGACAAGGTCCTGAAAAACACAATGAGAATGAAAAAAGGTTACAACACCATTCAAGTCTTTTAGTGAGTTTATGGATGGACAAAAGATTGTTAGAAAGCTTAGGGACATGAAGCACATGATTTAGGTGGAGAGATGGGCTTAGGCAGATGTTACCTGATCCGAGAATCGAGGTTTGGGACCCATTTGCAATGGTAATATGGCCTTTATTAGGTAAGGTGAATAAGAAGAGAGATATGACATATATGGGATCATGTGATCAGTTGCACCAGAGTCAATAATCCAGATATCTTTAGAACAAGAGGCATTAAAAACTAAGAAGTTAGAGTTCTTACCAGTCATGGTCAGAGAACTAGTGTTAGAGAACTTACTTAAGGAGTCCATAAAGAGAAACAAACCGTCTCAAGCCAGGAGAGTCGAGATCTACTGTTAGAAGAGGATCGAAGGGCTGCCCATGAGAAACTCCAACAAAGATGACAACCAAACAATCAAGGGTTGCAAGCAGCGAGAAACAGAGGTGCAACAATGAAGGCTGTCTTGAAAACAACAATGAAGGTGAAACCGTCCGGATCTGCAACGACGGTTGAGCGGTGCATGACGGCTGCAAAGTCACCGAGATCACTAGGGTTCCAAGAGAAAGGGAACCTTGACAAAAAAAAAAGGCCGTAATAAGAACGGCTAGTGTTTTGAGCGCGGAAGCAGAGCCCCTAGAATCAGGTGCTCTGATACCATAAAGTAACAAACAATCTGTATTTCTTTTATATTGCAGTAAGTAATACATGAAAGGTATTTATAGAATACAAGGGACAAATCACTTTAAATGCTAATTCTAAATATGGTAGAAGACAACTAATTACTAATTATTAATAGCTAATTATTAATAATTATTTACAATGAATATTATACTGAGCTGTATAATACAGAATCTATTGATTTTGTACTTATCTCTTTAATAAATTCCAACAATGTTGCATGTACATTCAAGGATAGAGTTAGGGTAAAAATACTGAACAGGTTGAAATTATAAGAATTTAAGAAAATTAGGCGAGGCTTTTTATGAAAAAGTAAAATAAGCTTGGAGGACCCTAACATAGCTATTATGAGATAAGACTAATAGTGAAATGCAAAGATAATTTTATGAAATTTGGAAATTTGTAGCTATTTAGAGAGCTGTATGTTTCAATGAAGGTGTAATATTTTCTTGAATATGTCTGAGAATTTGTGCAAACTGCAGGCTGGGTCGATAGAGGGTCAAGTGCTGGAAATTGGTCTTACTAGCACATCATTGCTGAGTCCTGAGAAGTTCCCAGTCATTGTGCCAAACTCCTTTTTCTCGAGCCAGGTAGGCCTTCTTTTCCCTTTCTTTTTTGTGTGATTCTGTACGGACTCACTATCCGGCAATCACTTCAGCAAAGCAGAGAAGTTGGTCCGACAATTTAAGGGTAGTAAGTTCTACTTTATTGCTTCTCTCTTTCTGACTGCTCCAATGCCCATTCAAATTATAGTTATGTTCGACTTTTCCAACAATATTTTGAGCAGGCTTCATATAATCCTGAACTGATATGTATGAATCTATTGTTCCAACTTGTTTGAAAGATTTTAGGAATCCTTCTTCTCCTTGGTTCTTTTCAAATCATAATTTGTATGTTAGGAAATAGCTAAATATGAATACATCATGGAAGAAACAGGTGCCGATATTTCAAACAATATATGTTTGTTACTAATACTTACTATGTAGACAAATAAAGTCTGCCTCTTCATGGTTTAATTTTGGTTGTCTTCACATTTGTTTGACCATTCTTTTCATAAGTTTTCAAACTGTGGCCATGTGTTGACTAACTTGATTGCACCTTCATTTTGTAATTCATTTATTTTGGGGTTGAATATATCTGAGGAAATTTCTCTAGCTAGGATATCTAAGTTTTGAAGCTGGCACCTCACATGGCACACAGACTGATGCATAAACTGTTACCTTATAATCTCAATAAAATGTTTCTTGCTTAAGCTTTTGATCAATAACATGTTTCTTGCTGCTTCAGTAATCATGGTTACAACTCTCTTTTTCATGCTAATTTTGTAGGTAATTGTGAACAAGTCCCGTGCCGATTATCGTGCCATTATTACCAAAATCCCCTTGCAAATTGAGGATCTAAGTAAGATCCCCCAGATATCAAATGATGTAAAAAGCATGTTAGCATCAAATGCGAAAGTTTTCTTAGGAAAAGATGTTCCCTACTGTTTCTTGTCACGTATTGAAAGTTCGTTTGCAGAACTGACTCTTGGATACAACCTCAAGCACATGGTAAGTCACTCATCTCAGTCTCTCAATTGATATTTAATATTATGCTTGCTTCACACTAAATGACTCAATGAAACCTTAAACACAATCCTCAATGACTTGATGGGAATATGTTTTATTGTTGTGCTTATTGCTTTTTGAAATAAGGTCCACTATCATGTTTTCTATGTTTTGAACTTTGTTATACCGTCCTGTTATATGCGTTATTTTGTTAATGTGATACATCATTATCCTCAAATTCCTCCATACTTGGTTGTACCTCTTTTTAACTCTCTTGTTTATCTCATACTATAATTTATTTCAGCGCAAAGATGAGTTCTATGCTGCAGAACAAGATATTCTCCTGCAAGCAGTTCAGGTCATTAAGAATCACGGTGTTGCTCTTGGCAGCACATGGAATGACACTAAGTAACATACTCAACACAAGGACAGTTTTTGGATGCTTGATTTCAAAAATATGATAAACCTTAGTTTTAAATGTACAAAGTCTGCAACTATACTAAGCTCAGAAAAGTGATATTCCCAAACAGAGACGAAATAGCCTCAGTTTGCAGCCAAATCAATTTTCTTACATTACTTGGAACTGTGTAGTCAGATATCATTTACCTTCAGATTTTTTATTTTGTTTTACTAAATGATATAAAAAGTTATACATTTATGAGCAAGGTATGTGAGTCATAAAATCTGCCATCAAATTATATTTCACCTTTTTATTTCAATGTAAATAAGTTTCAAGACATAAAGCACAATGTCAAGATGAAGAAATATGATTAACGAAAATTTGTTTACATTATAATATAAGTTTATAAGCTCTTATACTTCAAGTCCAATTTCTTGATCATTGCATGTCCAATTAGGTTTTCTCAGTCCCCATAAAAATGGCAATTTGGACACTTCAAGTCCTTAAGCAATTTCCAAAACTTGTTCCTTGCTTGATTTGCATTCACTCCCAAACCCTACAAAAACAACTGATTTTGATGCTTGCTCATCAAGCCACTCAAATATTGCACTCTCTAATCCCGTTCCCGTTCTCGATCCATAAATTTTCTCTCTCTGACATTTCTACGGGCAACAAACCTATAGGAATCACAGGCTTACCAACTAGTTTCTTGTATAGATTCAGATATTCCCCTTCAATCTCATAGCAACCGCAACAAATTACACCTTTAGCAGCACAAATTACCTTGGCAAAAGCCTTTCGATGCCACTAACCTCAGAACCAGTTTCCTGATGCACACTATTAAAAAAAGCAATTGCCTCATTTCTTTTATAAGCAACCGATGACGGAAACGTCACCCATTTCGACGGTGAGGTTAAACTTTACCGATGACAGAAACGTCACCCCTTTCGGTGGTGAGGTTAAACTTTCCAGCGAGAATCGAGATTTCATCGTGTTACTTGGTGGTCCAAGGAACACTAATGTTGCGGCCGAAACAACAGAATAATATATTAGCTTTACACGAAACTCGTGCGCAATCTCCACAATCCAATGAGGATTATAATCACATATTATCCAATTAGGTAACCAATTGGATACTAACTTTCTCACCGGATGCTGGAGTTGATCATATGCTTCTTCTAAGTACTGAATCTTATCAAATGGAATGTCCATAGTTGCTTCAGCACCTTTTGGCAAGAGGTTTGTGTTTAATGATGGTAATGGAATTTCCACCAAATCTATCAAATGTGATAGATTTGAAGGAAGTTTTGGAAGTGGAGACATGAACACCTGCTTTGGCTAAGGCTATTGAAAGTTTGAAAAATGGCATAAAGTGGCCAAATGCAGACCATGGAAGCATCACTACATGAATTATTTCCTCAGCCATTTTCACTCTCCTTTGGTGAAGCATTACACTAGGTCTCCTATATATCAACTCCGAACAACATATATGTAATATATAAAGCTATTAGTAGATATTCATTAAGTTAAAAATTTGGTTAAATTGCATTTAAAGAAAGAATTGGATTAATTTATCAAACTCTTAAATTCTTAAGTAGCTTTAATCTGCATGTATTTTTGGTCAAGTAGTATAATGTTTGGAATCCACAACATATATCTGATGTCTCTGTACAACTATCAATTAAGCTGACTTAACAATACATATGAAATGTGTTTTAAAATGTGGCAAATACAAGTAAAAAATGTTAAGACCGGTGATACCATAATGACATGAATCGTTAACATATTCTCAGCTTCATAGGTAACCAACTTTCTTCAACAATAAATAAACACATGGTCACATCTTATGATACATCACTCATGAGGGAAGTTGCTAATACGATTAATGGCCGTTTGGGACCTGACTATGTCGTAGATGGCGCTTGGTATGTCACCATTGATAAAAAAACGGAGAAGAAGAAGGAGAAACTCCAGACATAACTCAATTCCTTTAGTGTATACATTTTTTTTTGTAGTTGTCTTTTTCTAAACTTTAGGTCTAAATTAAATGTACAATAGATTATATTATATGTACTCATAGTTTTTTGTTTATTATAGACGGATAATCAATCTGATCAGTGACATTGTCGGCATCATGCGGTTTGTTAGATACAAGATTCATTCTGCTGAGGGGAAGCCGAACAACATCTTCTATTTTTCGTATAAGATGGAAGGGGTTAGGAACCAACCGTCGCAGATTCTCGATTTTTCTTTCTCTCATGTCAATCAGTAATCAAAATAATTTGCAAGGTTAATATTATTTATAGCTTTAAATTTTTATTTTGCAGAGTCTACCAGTGAAACCACTAGAACCTGAATGCTCTAACCAGAAAAATAGATATAATCATTACATACCTTTCTATGTTAACATTCATTCATTATACACACCATGTGGTTGATAATATTTTGATGTGGATTCTCATCAACATTAGCATCACTTCATTATATTTCCAACTTGCAAGTTGAAATAATTTTATGTTCTAAATGGACTGATTTTATTCTGGAACTGATTTTGATTGAACAAACTTAATGGTCAACTGAAATAGATTTCACTAAGAACATTATTGGATATTTATCTATTTATGCAACCCTTTGTTATAAACATACTTGTAAATTATTTAGAGATTCACAACATTTTTAATTGCTAGAAGGTTGGGTTGAAATTGAATGATTTTTTTTTTTACTTTCTTTATTGGTTATCTTGATTTTATTTTTTGATTGCAGTTTTAGTTTGTAGCAACTATGATTGGCTTTTTCTGCACAACTTATTACAAATCATAAGAGTGATATCTATTGAAAGGTTTAATATTTAATCATTATTTTTTGTAATTCTTGATATTTTCCTTTAGGTTGTTTGTTGACCCCTCGATTTAAAGTTGATTGTATAGATTATAGACATAGATATTGACTATTTAAAATAACACTTATAGTTAATTAAGTTTTATAGACAAGTCAAGTAAATTAATTTGCATAAGAGTAAAGTAAGCATGTGATTTGCAGAAGATATGAATTCTATATTTTTTATTTATTGATTTTTTGATCTATTTGTGTTTCTTATTTGACTGGAATATGGAATATAACCTCTATCTAAGGAAAACCATACATGAAAGTTGAAATATATGTGGTAGTTGTGTCACTCCTTAGACGTATTGTAGAGTCACATGTGGTCTAACTTCTAAACTGAAATTAAATTATGGTTACTATGTCATCTACATTTATTTTATTTGACTACCTTTGTGTTCAATTTTTTAATGTAATCTCTATTTGTTGTTTGTCAACTTTTAAAATTAATATGCAAATATTTATTTAGTTTAGGTTTAACTTTTATATTATCTATAATTTATAACATTACAAACTATTTTATACGAATACTTATAGTTGTTAATAGTTTATGTTTAACTATTATACAATAATATATTTAATAAATAATAATATTTATATTTTCAATATTTTGTTTGTATTTCATTTTTTTTCTAAAATATTTTCATGTATTAATCATAAATATAGTATATAAATAAATTATTACTATATTGCTTCCATATTAGAACTAATTATTAAAATTATTTATTTATTAATAAAATGAATTAATAAAAAGATAATTAATTAACTCTAATATTATTTTAATTGATTGGCCTATCTAAATTAACTATAACCAAAACAGGTTAATTATATGATTTTCTAATATTTAATTTTTTTGTTATATTTAATATCTATCTAATATTTTATATTATATTTTTTTATATTAGAAATATGCAAATTAAAAATTACATATATTAATATATAAATAATATTTTTGAAAAATATATATATTAAATTTATTTAACTTTTATTTAAAATATGTGGAATAATTACGGGCCCTTATATTAAGAGAGATGCATGGATAACAATGAGAATATGATTTGGAAAAAAATAGTATAATACATGTTATCAAATCAAATAAAGTTTCTCACTTATATTTGATATTTATTATAAAATTAAATATTTTTGTTGTCCTCATAAATATGTTTGTTGAGAATATTTTTATTTATATTTTTTAATTATTATTATATTATATTTATTTATTATTTATAATAATATTGTATTATCCGTGCGAATGTAAAGCTAAATGACTACTTAATTATTTTTTTTAATATTTTCAATTAATATATATATATATATATATATATATATATATATATATATATATATATATATATATATATATATATATATATATATATATATATATATATATATTTGACTGGTCGAGACTAAATTTATATATTTTTTATATATATTTCTTAATTATTATTATATTTCATTTATAATTATATAAAAGACAGGAATAAAGTGGGTCGGCAATAGTGCGGTAATGGCGTGAACGTGAAGGGTAAGGGAGATTGACGACACCAGCCATTCCAATAACCCCAAATAAAGGTTCAGTGTGTAGCTTAGGTAAGTAGGGTAGGCTCCCTTTAACTATAACTAGTAGGCAACATACAAACCCAATTACCTACCCTTCTTAAGTTTTTTAATGCTCCATCTCCAATCAATATGAGACTTTAGGATCTTCTTAACATCCCCTCACGTTCAACACTTTTTTTTTTGGGGTTTGGTGCGTGGATATTAATGGTAGACGTCCATGATTTGATCGATAGACTCTGATATCAACTTAGAGTTTGACTTACTTTAATCTTATAAAATCGATTGTAAAGGTGAAGACCGTCACTCTATATAAACTTTTTCAATGTTCTATCTTCAACCAATGTGAAATTTTAGGATCTTCCTAACACAAACAGTTTAAATACAATTTTAATCTACGTAAAGTATAACATTTTTATGGTATAGTAATTTCATTTTTTTCAAGATTTAGTCCATACAAAATTTTAAAACTATTATTTTAATCATTATGCCAATTATCCAATAAAATTGCAATGCAGATTTCGATAAACTAGCAAGAAGAATTAAAAACAACAAATTTTAAATATATAATGGTTGAATACAAACATCATATATCACGAGCGAAGATATAAAGATGTGGCGAACGAATCAGTGCAGGATCTTAGGCTGTAATTAGGCTGTAATTTTAACTATGACTCACGGTAATGAATGAAATTAATGGAACAGAAATAACTCAGAAGAAGTAGAATGTTATTGATGAAAACATTGATTTCAATTAAGAAAATTAATAAATAAATATCGCGCAGAGAAAAGAAATCAGAGCAGATAGAATAACCAGAGAGATGAAGGTTCACACGTCATTCATCATTTTCTATAAATAAATATATATTTAATAAATATAAAATAAATTTGTATAATATGTACATAATTTTATTTTAAATAAAATTCTAAAATATATTTATGTTTTATTTTTTATTTATAAAAATTATAATATTAATCAAATTTAAAAAAATTACAAAAATACTTCTCTTGAATCTCCTTCAAATCTTGTTCTATCTTTTTCAAATCCTCTTCAATGTTTTTCAATCTTCTTCTTATCAATTTTTTGAAAAAAAAATTAACATAAATATAAATTATATATTACAGAATAAACATTAAACGAAATTATAAAAAAAAAATTGAAACAAAATTGGAGAAGATGATTCCTTTTGAAAATTTGAGGTGGAATAGAAATTGAAGAAGGAAGAAGATGAAAGAGAGAAGGAAGAGAGAAAGAGAGAAGAAATTGAAGAAAGATAATGATAATGAAAATATGATTGCATCTGTTAAACGAAAAAATATATATATAGTCAGTCAGCGACGTGATTAGATAATCACGTCGCAACCTTGCTACATGATTATCACGTCGCAACATCCCCAACAGCCATAAACTTTATTTATGACTCTGCACCCACTGCGCACAGGCAACGTCAAGCATAAAGTTTTTTCCCCTCTAAAAGCTTGCGACGTGAATTTCACGTCACAACTTGAAATTTTCAAAATTCTCACCATGTGCAGGTCTTCACTATCTGAATTTTATAATGTAATTAATAGGTTACATCATGAGATTCACGCCGCAACGTTTTTTATAAAAAATATTCTGACTCCCCATGTGTTAACGTTACTTTTTATATTTTATAATTAAATATATGTAGCGACGTGATTATCACGTCGCAACCTGTCACGTGATAATCACGTCACAACTTCACTTTGCTGGGGAGCATTTATCTTGTAGTGTGACTGATTCTGTTAGCTTTACACTTGGCCTTTTCTCTCTCTTGCCACGTCCAAACTCCTGACTTTTGGGGAATTCGTTATTCTTCTCCCCACTCCATAATGCCTCGTCACTTGATTGCATTTGCTCCTCACGTGCCTTGCCATGTGTTACACTCACACGACTTCGTTGTTAGGGAGCGTTGTGGCTGAAAATATTGGCGAACTCTTGTAAATGCCATGCATGTGTTCAAT